GGGGGTCGGGTTTTGGTAATTTCGGATTTTGTGCCCTTTATTGATTGTTTTCACTTGGGCTTTGTTCCCTTAGAATATTTTGACATCCTCGTTCTGATTTTGGATAGATTCGACGTGCGTGGAGGCCGATTCGAGGGGCAAAGGCGTCGCGAGTTAGAGATTTAGCCGGTTCGAGGTGAGTAATGATTGTAAATGATGTTCTGAGGGTTTGAAACCCTGGATTGCACATCGTAGTGCTATATTAAGGTGAGGCACATGCTTGATGACGAGCGTAGGGTCGTGCACTATTGGGGATTGTGACTTGGTCCGTCCCGAATGACTATTTTACCACGTATTTGATTGAAAACTATTTGCTATCATAATTATTTGGGTTGAATGCCATATTTGGGCCTAGTGCCAACTATATGAACCTTTCGGGAATTTTTATTGATATTTCCTCATTGTTTTGACTTTATACTTGAACTCAATCATGTTATTTTCCATTGTTTTAGTACTCAGCCATGTTTACTCAGTTTTAATACTTAAATGAAATTTTAAATGATATTTGGGCTGAGAAATACTGTTTTACTATTGGCCTAGGGGCTTGTGAGGATTTTGACTGAGTAAGGCCGAGGGCCTATGTTGTGAGGATTTGACACTAATTATGAGGTCGAGGGCTTGATATATGTACGCCACGAGGTGGCTTGATTGATATGAGGCCGAGGGCCTAGTTTGATGGCACGAGATGGCTTGATATTGCGCTTGGGTCGTAAGGGGCCCCTCCAGGAGTTGCACACCCCCAGTGAGTGCGGGTACCCATTGTGATGTGAGATTGAGCCCGAGGGACTGGTATTGTTCTGAGATGTTTCCCGAGGGGCGGATTTGTTGACACTATGCCCAAAGGGCGAACTTCTAATTGTTTACTTTGCCTTAACTGCCTGTCAATTACCTATTTACTTGTTGAAAAAGGATTGTTACTAAACTTTTCACTGGTTTACTGCTTTTAAATGGTTTGCTTCTTCATTATAGAATGTTTTGTGCCTTACGTGTTTTCTTACATTCAGTCGTTATTTACATTTGTTACTCACTAAGTCGGAGTCCTCACTTTACTCCCTGTACCCCGTGTGCAGATTCAGGCGTAGCTGGTCCCGCTCCCGAGTGTTGATTCATTCTAGCTTCAGGCGGATCTTGAGGAGTCTTTAGGTAGTTGTTGGCGTTCGCAGCCCGGAGCTCCTCCCTATCTCTTTTCCTTTATATCCTTAATTCAGTATTTACAGTCTGCAATTACATTTAAGGATTTCGTGTTGTTAGACTCTCGTGACTTGTGACACCCCGGTTAGGGCTGTGTCGGGTTGTACTTCCGCACTTACTTGCTATTATTCACTACTTAGTATCATTAAATCATGTTTTAGATTATTTTTAAAAAGTGAATTGGGTTTAATTAGATAGTCTTGTCTTCACGAAAGGCACCATCACTACCAGGTTCGGAGTTAGGGTCGTGACAACTTCAAACAAAGAAAATTTGTGAGTTTTCAAAGTGGTGGTCGGTTTGTGGCCTTGATGACCTGGATAGTTTGAATTCTCGGCCATTGCTATAAGAAAAACTGATTCTGTCACTGTGGTATAGAGATGCTCGGATACTCTATATTTTTCTGGAGACCTTGGCTTTCCAACATTTCCTTCGACTGTTTCATACCTGGATGTCCATGGTACCACTAATCCTTGTCCTTAAATCAAGGCAATTTTCCTTTAAACTCAAACTTAGTTGTCTCGCGCCCAGTACCCGTTTGTGTCTGTAGTGCTTATCAACTTGTCCCATGAAGCAGGTCTTGTAGCCAGTTTTGCAGCCATATTGTTCTTTGCTTTTGATGCAATATTAGACCGAAAGGGACTCAAAGAAAAATTATGGGAAAATAGAAGAGCAATTGAAAGTAAAAAGGGAATTGTGTCTAAACAAAAGGTGTCCTTTTCGGGGAGAGGAATAGGGAGACTTATCTGGAGGTGTGTGCCGACTTCAATGAATCATGACATGCATTTTGGACTGGACTCTTGATCTATCTAAGCCGTCTAATTCACAAAATCCGTCACAAATATTCATCTTGAAACTATGTTGGTTGTGATCATGTCGTAGTATCGAAGACCCTCATTTGGCTAGTAGTGCCATTTAGGGGTTTTCGCTAACTGATCTCTCTCATTTCTCTACTCATTATCGCTTTATGGTGCCCATCTGTGTTTTCACTAATAAAACTCTCATTTCTCTGCTCACTGTTGCCTTATAGTGCCCATATGGGTTTTCACTGATAAAACTTTCTCATTTCTTTTTTTTCTTTTTATTAACTAAGATATTGCATGCGGAAGGTTTCCCAACGCCCCTGGCATGGGGACTTCAAGCATTCTCAAAGATCGATCAGAAGTTCTTAACATGGAAAAGGCGAAAAGAACCATGAACTGAATTACAACGTTTGGAACCGTTTTTACAGAAAAACCGTATAATAAAACAAACTTCTGCCCCAGTTTTGGAGTGTCGGAAATAAGGATTTTTTGTTGTGATGGGACCGAAACCAGGGTAAGGCTACCTACGTATCTTTTCGGAATCAGGTCGGACATAGTTTACTGACTCATAAGATTTGTTGTTTGACTTTTGTTTTCTTTTTGTTGTTACAAGTACACAGGTTCCAAAAAAGGGAAAATAAAGAATACAATTACGGATCAAAATGGTTAACAAAATAGTGAACCTATCTGGAATAGTGAGCAATGATAGCCTTCATCATCTCGATCTACGAAAATCATGCATGAAAGTTCCGCAGTGGGTATATATCAAACATAATATATTTTAACTGTATCTGCATTAATAGTCATATCTGGTACCTGTCTTTCTTCATCTACCAAGTGCAAGGCCTCTTTTGGTAACACTTTCTTGATGATATAAGGTCCTTGCTAGTTCGGGACGAACTTTCCTTTAGCTTATACCAGGTGCGGAAGGATGCGTTTCAAAACGAGTTGCTGGCCTACCTCAAAGTGCCTTGGGCGCACTTTCTTGTTGTAAGTGTGTGACATTCTTTGTTGGTATACCTGGCCAAAACACACTGCTGCTAGCCATTTTTCATCAATCAGCATTATTTGTGCATCACCATTCTACCCCTTACAATCTGAATATTCATACAAAATTTTGAATTGCTTGCATAACTCCTTCATCATATGACTATTCAGATTGGTTGCATTGTTAGTTATAATGATTTTTGGCATACCAAAACGACAGATGATATTGGAATGAACAAAGTCTACCACTACTTTCTTGGTGACTGCTTTGAAAGTAACTGCCTCCACCCACTTGGTGAAGTAATCAATGGAGACCAAAATGAATCTACGCCCATTTGAAGCCTTCGGCTCAATTGGCCCAATAACATCCATTCCTTAAGCAACGAAAGGCTAAGGAGAAGACATGGGGTGTAATTCTGATGGAGACGAGTGAATCAAGTCGCCATGACTCTGGCATTGGTGACACTTAACTGAAGCAATCTCACTCCATAGTGAGTAAATAATACCCTGCCCGCAAAATCATCTTTGCTAAAACATATCCACTCATGTGAGGTTCGCATACCCCCGAATGCACTTCACTCATGATCCGCTCAACTTCTATGGCATCTATGCATCTCAACAAGTTCAATATGGGTCCTTTTGTACAGGATTTCCCCATTCAGGAAGAAACCACTGGCGAACTACCTTATAGTTCTTTTTTGATCTCTCTTGGCATGCTCTGGATATTCCTGTTTTTAGGAATCGTTTTATGTCGTGATACCATAGTTCACCATCTGTTTTGTCTCAATAGTATTGCAGTAATCGTATTGATTACGGACTTGGATTTCTAATGGATCAATATGAATGTTCCTTGAATAAGGGAGCATCGAGGCTAAGGTAGCCAAGGCATCAGCTAGCTCGTTGTGAAATCTGGGAATGTACCTCAACTCGATGGATTTGAATATGTTGCTCAGGTCTTGCACACATTATCTATATGAAATAAGCTTTATGTCTTGAGTCTCCCATCCACCTTGGGCTTGCCGAATAAGCAAGTCAGATTCTCCCATAACCAATAGTTCATGCACATCTAGATCGAGGGCCATTTTTAGGCCCATGATACAAGCCTCGTATTATACCGTATTATTGGTATAGAAGAATCGAAGTTGTGTCGTTGCAGGGCAATGTTGTCCAATAGGTGAGATGAGGATTGTCATGACCCTAACTCCTTTAATATTGACAGCCCCATCAAAATACATTTTCCATGCATGGCTGTCATCCGAAACTACTTTCTCTATTGAGTTGACCTCTTCATTTGGGAAGTATGTTCTCAACGGCTCATAATCATCATCGACTAGATTCTCTGACAAATGATCTGCCAAAGCCTGTGCTTTCATTACGGTGCGAGTAACATAGACGATGTCGAATTTTGTGAGAAGAATTTGCCATTTTGTGAGCCTACCAATAGGCATTGGCTTTTGGAAGATGTACTTCAAAGGATCCATTCTGTATATGAGGTAAGTAGTGTAGGCCAAAAGATAATGCCTCAGCTTCTGAGCAACCCAAGTCAAGGAACAACATATCCTTTCTAAAAGGGTATACTTAACTTCATAATTGGTGAACTTCTTGCTCAAATAATAGATTGCATGTTCTTTTTGTGTGTCACATCATGTTGCTCCTGAACACATCCAAAGGAATTATCCATCACCAATAGATATAAAAACAAAAGCCTACCAGGTTCAGGTAGAACCAGTACAGAGGGTTTTGACAGATAATCTTTGATTCTGTCAAAAGCTTTTTGGAACTAACAAAACTAAAATGGAAATAAAATGATAGGAATTAGGAAAAGGAGAAGATACAAAACTTAATACGAAACTGAACTGCATTTCATTGAATTTGAAAGGATAGAAGGGTTAACATCAAAACAAAACATTCATATTGAGCTGTTTGGATTACAACCCTGAAAGTAACCCAAAGTACAAATAAGAAGTTGTAAAAGTAAACTACTAAGATTCCTTCCTTGTGGGGAGAGGAGCTGCTTCCCAGTTGTTGAGCATGATGTTTGGGAAAATTAGTTGCATATTGACACAACTAGTGCCTTCGCCAACCTGAATCATATTCACTTCAGAAAATATCTGGCCGAGGCCATTGCAAATTTCATCAATTTTTGCCTGTGCCGAGGAATATTTACCCTCTTGGAGTCGTTTCTTGTCAAAAGTGTAGAAAATATGAGGGATAGGTTGTTGCAAGACCCACCCATGCTTTTTGTAGTGATTGGCTTTGTCTTCATCTGCTTGTGTTGGCCTGAAGCCTAAACCAAAAGTACCCTTGTTACTGAACAGAGAAATAGGTTCTGAAATTCCTTGTAATGATGCCCTCAAGCCTTTTCCGGTAAAGTCTTCATAGCACATAATATATAACTTGTGCTCCAAATATTTCCTTAGTCCTAGTAAGATACAACTATATAATGTATTTTTCAAGAAAATAATACAATTATATGAGATAAGTCATAGCATTATACTAAAATATTCAATAATAAAGATAATAAAATTGCATAAAACAAATATTACTAATTAATAAGCCATAATAAAAATTAAAATAATCTAAAAATACTATATAGGTCATGCTAAAATAAGTATAGCTAATAAGTATGTATTATTAATTCTATAACTAGAACAACAACAACAACAACAACAACAACAACAACAACAACAACAACAAAAACCCCAGTTTGATCCCAACATGTGGGGTCGGGGTTTGTGCATTCTCATTATAAAACAATGTAAAACTTAAAAATAGATATCCAACACTGTCGTCATTCCTAGTGCCGAATTGAATTTCTTTTGTTAGCATTAGTATTAATTTGAACTTTGTTTGAGTTACTACATTAAAAATTTATTTACCATTTTACATTAAGAATTTATTTACCATTCAAGAATGTTAAGTCCAAACTTGAAATAATACATTAAAGGATAAAAACTGTGAAATATTTTAAGAAATATTTATAAATTATATTACAATAAATATTTATATGTATAAAATATTTTAATATATATTTTAATGTACTATCGGGTTGGTTTGATTTTGGTTTGGCTTTTTTAGTTATAACCAAACTAAACCAATTATGATCGAATTTTTTTATCCAATATCAAATCAAACCACAATAGAGTTTTTTTCCGTTTGACTCAAATTATCGATTTGGTGCGGTTTATCGGTCTTTTTATACACCCCTAATAAATACTATACACAAACACATAATTAATAGCAGTATATATCCCAACAATAACAAGGTCAAAATTGAAGAGCAACTTCAAGAATAAACGGTAATGTTTCTAATGAGGGAAAAAAAATAGGGAGAAGAGAGCAACAAAAGTAAAGCTAACTATCGCACCCATATGAAGCTCACCCCAATTTCTCCTTAGTACACCTTTTTTCCTCTGGTATCTGTCTTATTCCTTTTCCGTATAGGACACCGGTTATTTTTCCCAGAAAGTTTCCACTTTTATGCCAATTGCACCCTGAGATAAAATTTCAAATTTCACCCTATTTCCACATCACAGTAAAAGTGTAGTCGTACTATAGGCAGCAAAAATTGTGTCTGTACCTTTTCTTTAACAAGCCAAGGTCATGGGCCATTGATTTTTCTTTGTGCCTGTTAAGAATTTTCACACAAAGAGTATTTTCTTTAATGTTACTCCTAGCATATGTTAATCTAGGAAAAATAAATAATAGACAGTGTGCAAGCTTAGCCAAGCACTTTTCACCGGAACACACTTGGTAAATTCTTAAAATTTCAGGAAAACTTTACATATACGACTAATAGGTGGCTTTGAATGATATAGAATGTGTACACTATAAGCATCAATGGAGAATACTACAACAACCCAGTAAAATCCCACAAATGGGGTTTGGGGTGGGTATTATGTACGCAGACCTTACCCCCACCTCGAAGAAGTAGAGAGGCTGTTTCTGGAAGACTCTCGACTCAAGATAATGAGAAAAACAAAAATGAGAGAATATTAGTTTCACCACAGAGATCATAGGAAAAATAGAAACATAAAATGCAGAAGGAAAAATGCAAAACAAAAATGATGGCTAGTAAATAGGTCCTGCACCGAAAAGAGAAAATAGTAAGACACGACAATGTCCCTAGCTATTTCAGACAAAAACCCTACCAGACTAGGCTCACAGCAGTACAAGGTAACGCAAGACTCAACTACATCCTAGCCTACAACCGTAATACTCAACCTCCACAACTTCCTATTAAGTGTCATGTCCTCAGAAATCTGAAGCCTCGTCATATCCTGCCTGATCACTTCTCCCCAATACTTCTTAGGCTGGCCTCTACTTCTTCTTGTTCCCTCTACAACCAGTCGCTCAGACCTCCTTACTGGAGAATCTAGACTTCTCCTCTACATATGTCCGAATCATCTGAGCCTCGCTTCCCGCATCTTGTCATCAATGGGAGCCACGTACACCTTCTCCCGAATATCATCATTTCTAATCTTGTCCATCCTAGTGTGCCCGCACATCCACCTCAACATCCTCATTTTTGCTACTTTCATCTTTTGGATATGTGAGTTCTTAACAGACCAACACTCAGCCACATACATCATGGCCGGTCTAACCACCGCTTTATAGAACTTACCTTTAAGTATCGTTGGCACTCTCTTGTCACACAAAACTCCGGATGCTAACCTCCACTTCATCCATCCTACCCCAATACAGTGTGTGACATATCAACGATCTCCCCTCCCCCGTGGATAACAGACCCAAGGTACTTGAAGATGCCTCTACTTGGGATAACATGTGATTCAAGCCTCACATCCACGCCCACTTCCCCCGGCTCAGTGCTAAACCTATATTCCAAGTATTTCATCTTCGTTTTGCTCAGCTTGAAATCTTTAGACTCAAGAGTCTATCTCCAAACTTCTAGTCTCTCATTAACACTGGCTCGTGAGTCATCAATCAGAAATATGTCATCGGCAAATAGCATGCACCATGGAACCTCCCCTTGAATATGGTTTGTTAATGCATCCATCACCAGGGCGAATAAGAACAGACTGAGCGCAGAGACTTGATGTAACCCTATTTCAATAGGAAAATGCTCACAGTCTCCTCCTACTGTCCTAACCCAAGTCTTAGCCCCATCATACATGTCCCTAATCGCCATAATATAGGGAACCGACACACCTTTTGTCTCCAAGCATCTCTAGAGAACTTCTCTATGAACCTTGTCATACGCTTTCTCTAGGTCAATAAACACCATGTGCAGATCCTTTTTTATATATCTATACAGTTCCACCAACCTCCTAACAAGGTGTATAGCTTCTGTGGTAGAACGACCCGGCATAAACCCGAACTTGTTGTCGGATACAAACACTGTCATATTCACCCTCGCTTCAACGACCCTCTCCCATACTTTCATGGCATGACTCAGTAATTTGATGCCCCTATAATTGTTACAACTTTGGATATCACCATTGTTCTTATACAATGGAACCATCGTACTCCACCTCCACTCATCCAACATCCACTTCGCCTTAAAAATAACATTAAACAACCCAGTCAACCACTTCAAACCTGCTCTCCCTACACACTTCCAAAATTCCACCGGAATCTCATCTGGCCCGGTTGCTCTACCCCTACTCATCTTACGCATAGCCCACACAACCTCCTCAACCTTGATACGCCTGTAGTGCCCGAAGTCACGGTGACTCTCGGAATGCTCCAATTCGCCCAGCACAATATGTCGATCCCTTTTTTCATTCAAAAGTTTATGAAAGTAAGTTTGCCATCTCCTCTTAATCTAGGCATCTTCCATCAGTATCCTACCATCTTCGTCCTTGATGTATCTCACTTGGTCCAAATCCCGAGCCTTCCTCTCTCTCAACTTGGCCTACCGGAATAACTTCTTCTCCTCGGCCTTTTTCCCTAGTTCCTCATACATACGACCATAAGACACAATCTTAGCCTGCGTGACTGACAGTTTAGCTTTCTTCCTAGATACCTTATATCTCTCCATGCACGCTCGTCTCTCCTCCTCACCTATGCTCCCCACTAACTTCATGTATGCTGCCTTCTTCGCTTTCACTTTACCTTGGACCACTTCATTCCACCACCAGTCTCCTTTATGCCCACTAGAGACACCGGTTGAGACCCCTAATTCCTCTCTCGCAGATGCCTTTATATAGTTTGTTGTTGCTAACCACATAGAGTTTGTGTCCCTATTTCTCCTCCAAGCACCCATAGCCAACAACTACCACTCCAACTCTTGGGCTTTATCCTTAGTCAAGGCTCCCCACCTGATTGTCGGTGTTCCCGAGAAGTTCGTTTCCTCTTCTTTAACGTAATACCAACGTCTATCACTAAGAGTCTATGCTGCGTCGCAAGTGTCTCATTCGTAATCACCATGCAGTCCTTGCACAGCCCTCTGTCATACCTCCTGAAGAGGAGATAGTCAATCTAAGTCTTCGCTACCGCATTTTGAAAAGTAACCAAATGCTCATTCCTCTTCGGAAATCTAGAGTTCGCAATCACTAACCCGAAAGCCTTAGCGAAGTCTAACAGCATGGCACCTCATCCGTTCCTCTCCCCAAAACCAAAGCCTCCATGCACCTCGCCATCACCACCTGCAGTTGCCCTAATATGACCATTGAAATTCCCTCCTATGAATAGCTTCTCAGTAGGCGGAACCTGGCATACAATCTCATCTATCCCCTCCTAGAAGCATTGTTTAACCTCCTCATCTAGGACTGCATGCGGCGCATAGGCGCTAATGACGTTTAGGGTGTAATCACCAACCACCAACTTAATAACCATCAATCTATCATTCACTCGTGTAACATCGACCACAGACTCTCTAAGTTCCCTATCCGCCAAGATACCCACTCCATTCTTACCTCTTTCGACTCCTGAGTACCAAAGTTTATACCCGTCCGCATCCTTCGCACTCAACCCTACCCATCTTGTCTCCTGGACACACGCTATATTGACCCTCCTCGTTTGAAGAATATTCGCCAACTCTATAGACTTACCTGTCAATGTACCTACATTTCATGACCTGATTCTTAACCTATAGACACCATTGTTCCTTTTACCTCCCT